AAATCAAATAGTTTCTAAAACACGCAAAAGGAAAGAGGTATCATTTCATTTGAGGAGTGTCCCCTAGTGTATACTATCCAATACTCCCCCCAGTTAAGTTTCATCATTCACATGACACTTCCATACAGTAAACAGTTCAAATTTTTATAACAAAGTACATATTTTCAATAACAATGTAACAATGCTAAGTATGATGACTGCAACATTACATGTTCATTTTAAACTATATTTACATAAGTATGTACTTTTTTTGTTATGACTCTTGTAAACGGGAATACATACGTATATATAGGAATGGAGCGATTGCTGATGCAAGTAAAACATTCATTACATTTATTTGGTGCAGGTTTAACCTTTTCATTGCATGATTCCCTGTGACACATGTATTTTCACACACGTAATTCATGGGCATTATTATTTACTTTAAGAGGAAATCAGTGAAAAAGAACAGAAATGAGAAGAACGGAAATTTTGAAGACAAGTAATTCAGTGGATCAGGCACTAATCCTACTAGATAACTTGGAATTTTGGACTGAATTTTAACACCAACATCAGCTATTATCCTGATAAATCAATTAGATCTCAGAGCTACTTAAGGACTTAAAGACTCAACTTAATTGCAAAGTCTATCGAGTGCATTCAAGATCCCATACTACAGTGGTTCCTATCCCTGAATTTCCCCTCCATGAAATGAGGAATAAAGTACTCCATACCAGTGCTACATGAATAGAAGCCTCAAAAATTATGATATTTAAACATGATATAAATGTTCTAACAGGGTCCTGGGCCATTCTTTTACACAAACCCTTCAGTTGTTAAAATGTGTTATGTTTCTTGGAAGAAAAGAAAAGAAAATCATATTTATTACTTTTTTCTGGTTTATGAAAAAAAAATATTCTAAATTAACAATATGCTTTGATTTCAGAACTAAATATACCCCACACACATTTCCTTACTAAGCTATGTTAGCTACTTTACACACATAAGTAAAATCACAGAATTTTAAGAGGTGCTTTTGCATTACTGGGACATACATTCCTTTTCATCTCTTAGGCAACCTTAGAAGTTTTTGAATTCACTCAGGTTACTGACATCCTGAATAGGAAAAGTGGGCATCAAGAAACAATCACGTTGTAAGAGTGTCACCTACTGGCAAAATGTGTTTCTGCACAATTGCTGGAGTTCATAGCAAATAAAAAAAGTGTGTTAGAATTATTTCTGGAGTCTTTTTTTCTTTTTTCTAGAACAGTATTAGATGCAGTTGCAATAAAATTGACAAAGAACATAAATAAAAGGCTCATCCAAAAAAATAAATCTAAGTTTAATAATATAGGAAGACGAGCGATATGGAGCAAAACAAATAACTCTTTTGCCATCCAGTGAATCCAGTTCATTAGCATCCAGTTCACAGACTATACACTTTCCCTTTAAAGGAGTTAATTTTAAAATTATCATTTGCAACAGAAAACTCATACTAAGCACTACTCTCAAGCAAATGCATTACTTTTCTGAATAGCTATCTTCCTGCAAAGAACAATAACGATTTACCTATCATTATTATCCAAAAGGCTAGAAAGTAAAGCAGAAAGCTTAAGAATATATAATGGGAACACGATCTGTAAATAATCAACCAAGATGAGATCAAGAACCTGAGGGACTGTGATCAGTACTCATGTACCCTCCCTCATTTTCCCCACTTAAATCAAACCTGTGTTAAAGGGGAACTGAAGCCAAAACCTTAAGGTGGTATTTTGATAGTGTAAATGGTATGGTCTGTTGAATACAAATAACTGCCATATCAGAGGTCTTTTTTTTTTTTTTTTTCTTCAGAGTACACATTTGTAATTTAAGCTTAAATGAAAACATGTAATAGCAACTTCAAATCTCTCAAACACAGCTTATAAATCACAGCTTATTAATATTTTCAAATTCTAGGTCTCATTTCCTTTAAGTTTTCATCACATAGATATTCAGCTTTAGGAATTTGTTTTCCCCTACAGTATTTTAAAAACACAATTTTGCCTGCTTTACATTATTAAGTCATTAACTTCCATTTTTTGCATGTAGAGACTACTATTTTTTCAAAGGTATTTGAAATCTTAACTCTACAATACTTGCAGTCATTTACACACCAATAGAATTGATATCAATACTCCCCAAAACAAGCAATACAGGGTTATACAGGGTTTCCCCCCTATATAAAGTTACTCATGGGTGCTTTTGCAGAATCCAGGTTGAGCAACATTTTTGTAATGATAGTCAGTAGAAAGAGATGAACAGCTAAAATGGAACAGATATTCAGCATTGCAGGCAACTCTCTACATTTGCACGTTCAGTTGTGCATTCACTATTGTTCAAAACAGAACAAGTCACAGTTGCCTGATCACATCAAAACCTTTTACGATGCTCAAAACTTTTTACTAATGCAGACAATGCTGTTCTATAGTACAATAACTTGTGATATTTTAATTGAGAGACAGCTGCCAGTAATATAATTTCTCATTATTTCAGCCACCTGTTTCCTCTGGAAGCCTAATTCTGAGTTACATGATTACTAGTCAATCTCAGTTTTTATTTCTAATAAAAAAGGTTCAAATTTCCATAGATGCAGACAAAAGGAAAACTAACTAGACCAAGATATTTTCTATGTACCTTGGAAGAAACTATCAGCTTTGGTGAGTACAGTTCTGAGTATTCAAATGCTTAGCAAATTAAGAAGGAATATAAATAGCTGCATATTTTATGGCTGCCCCGAGTTCCCCTGCCAAACTACATATTTGAAATTTTGTCTTTTTTCCTTTGTCTTAAAAATAAAAGGAAACAGAACTACTGCCTCACCAGTGCCTTTCTTCTACCTCTTCAGTTTCCAAAGGAGCAGGAACTAAAAGAAAAGTACGCTGCTTTGGTCTTAAGTTAGCACTCAGTTGAACCACACAGTGGCATCACAAAATATAATCAGTGCTGATACAGTGTTTCCAATTAACTTTTCCTTGGATAATGAAACATCTATATCAGTTTAGTAGTTCACAAGCTTCACTCATCTGCTTCTCTTCCAACCATTTTTATTGATTTGTTATTATATAGAATACCTAAACAGTTTTTAGCACAAGAGGGACTCTGGTAAGACAGATTATTTAGCAGTTATAATTATTGATAGTGCAAATTTCCCCCTGGAATGATTTACATCTGTTTCTTGCCCAGAACTGAGATGTCAAAGATCAGATTAAGATGCTGAAATATGACTGGTAGTAACCGATTTCAGAACCTTAATGTAGCTCAGAACAAAAGAATATCCATTATACATACTGCAAGCATACTGCTTCAATTGTAAACACTGTATTTATCTTCTATGACACATACATTCACTCTATTACTTTCTTAATTTTATGTCCACATAATTTTCTCTTTAACATATATACCTTACTTGCCCTTGAGTGCAAACTGCAAATCACTCCGTTAATTACTTGTGGAATAAAATTTTGTCTTAGATATATTCTAGTAATACACACTACAATTTCTGTAATAGAAGAAACCGCCGGTAGGGCTGCAGCAGACAAGCATCCATGTTCCTGACTTCAGCTAAGTGTAGAGCTCTGCATCCGAGCCAGTTACTGTGAACAACCCGCAGAATAATGGAGAGAAACCAGCAGTTCCAAAGGGTGACTCACCCCCTTCTGATGATCTGACTGCATCCTGAAAAGGTACCTGAGACAACTAGCTGAAATGCAGTCATGAGAAGTTAAATAAAACTGGCAGTAAAAAGCCCTAGAAACAAAGATGCCCCAGAATCAGTCTTCTGTACTATCCCTCTTGCTTCCCAAAAAATTTACAGTACGTTTTCAACATCTTCCACATTTTACAACTTATTGCTATTATGAAATTGACCCCTCCAGAGAAAGACTATGTCTTCATACATTCAAGAAGGGTGAAAGAAGAGACCTCTTACGATGGCAAACCCACAAATTTGACACCAAATGCAAAGTTTACCTTTGTTCACCTGAGGACATTTCCAAATGCCAACAAGTTTTAGCAGCAAGTCCCACACTGAAACTCTGAAGGTCTCTCTAATGTACCGTCAAAAGTTCAGACTAGATTATCTCTCCTATGCATATAAACAACCTTGACAAACAGGTCAAATGCTTTAAAAACCTCCTATTTACATGTTTCAGACTAAGCAGATGTGAAAAAAATATATTTTACTTACAAATCCCAACAAGGCTCTTCTGAAGGATATCGATACAGAAACAGTAGGTCACTATGAGCAACCCACTTAATTTATCAATAGAGCAGATGTTTGCATCTTACACCAAGATGCTGCTTTATTTCTCACACATAGTTTTCTGTTCTTTTTCATTTTCTTAAAAACTCTCTCTTACTGATCATTTTTAAGTTTTACTATTATGACAATGTGATACCATACTCTCCCGAACTAGGAGATAGCTGGAAGAACTCCACTCTAAAATTCTACCATTGACATATGATACAGAGAGCCCTGTCATATCTACAGCATTGAAATTTTTCTCAAAAGGAGGACTGAGATGCATGGGGGAGGAGGGGTGTAGTGGTTACTTATACTATTTATATAAAGGAAAGACAAGACTTTTTCGACAGCTTTCCATCTAACCCTTATCCTTTTATATACATTTATATTTTGATAACAGCTTTGTGCTACACTTTCCAGCTTCCCTTTATATTTTGTTCTCTAGTAAAGCCAACCTAATCATTGTTGTCTACTCCCAGAATCAGTCTACAGCCAAGTAAACTATTAGAAAAATTACAAAAATAAAGCTAAAGCAAACCACAGAAGCAGGCAGGTGAAGGCAAGGGACTATTAAAAGAAAATACCGTTTTAAACAATACTGAATAGGGACAGCGGACACCTCTTCATGTCCTACCATGTAAAAATATAGATAGACCCTAACTTACACAAAAGTAACTCCCTTTTTAACAAAAGATGTATGTTCACAGAACACATGCAGGAAAAAAAAATCAGTACTTACAACAGGGTTTTTTGTGTCTGGGTCAAATTCTGTAGAATTTGCATCTGAAACAGAAGTTCAAAACAAACACAGTACATTTCCATTGTTCTACATGCACTACAAACGCGTCATAAGAGTTCTGTGGCATTTTAGGGCTTGTCTACATTTAAGCTACAATCTTGTATGTTGAAACACACACTGCACCACTTTTGAAGCAATCACAGGAAGCATACTACCTCAGTCACACACACTCCCTTTCCTACTTCCCAAAACCTTTTCCTCTCAGCTCTTAGTGGTAGAAAAATCATTGCTGAGTTAAATCTCTTCATACTACTACTGCAATGGCTATGGTTTGGCTACTCTAATGACAGCAAGTGAGAAAACCACTTCTCACTTTTTACTCCTCACCATCTGCACACTCCAGAAAGAGACTACAGAGGTGAACTGTAAGCACACTTCCTCCTACACTCCTTAGATCAAGAAGCAGGTTTCAAGCAGTTTGCATAATAACAGTTCCTACTCCCTTGTACAGAAAGGTAGCACAGGGTGCTTAGCTGAAAATGATCATATTGCAAGAGCTAAGTACCTAATGATCATAGATCTATATAAAAGAGTTCTAATAACAGATACATATTTCACATACAGAATAAAATTTCTTCTAAGCAAATCATATTCACACTAGCATACTGAGCTCACCTTTCCAATTCAAACAGTTTCTTGCAAATTCCACAACTGCTAATTGCATTCCCAGGCAAACTCCTAGAAGAGAAAATAAAAATCCTAGAATTTAACACAGTGAAGATCAAGACTGACAAAGCACTTGCTGTTCTATCTGAAACTTGGCTGCTTAGAAATCTTGGTACCCAGCACATACACACAGACTTACCAAAAAGCTAAAACAAAAATGGCTGCTCAATGTAAAACTCACTCTTCAAACTTGGCACACTGTAAATACATGTGACACAATTAGGCACTTTAAGCCCTTTCAAAAATATTTTTTTTTTCCTCCCATATATTTTACCAATAACAAAAATAAAGACAAACAGAAGCTGAAAGCCTGTGTATATCCAGATTCAATTTTTGCTTTGGCAACTAGTCAAAGTAGTCACTTTTAAAATTGTAAGAAATGTGGACTAGGAACCAAAGCTTCAGAGGCACTTACACAAAGAGCACTTAGCTTATAGGCCAGATGGCATCTTTAGACTTTACCATAATAAAATATACCAATAAATCAAAAACAATAATTTCATATAGCAAATGTGTCCAAAGACACCTACGTTTTCTGCACACTGACTAATATCTATAACGATGCTGATTTAATTATAATGAGAAGCAAAGACTCTCCACATAAGGGATAGTGTTTTTCTTCCTTCCTTATACAGTAGGTGTAGCACATGACTATGACCCTGGGCATTATTTACAAGGCAAATATTCACAACAGCACACGTACTTCTCTAAGACAGGATCCTTCCCTAGTGTGTGTTGGTTGGTTGGTTTGTTTGGTTTTTTTAATCAAACCAATTAGCTTGCTATCAATTAGCTTGCTATACATCTCCAAAACACAGTAATTTCTGGCTCTAATGATCTTACCAAGAAAAGGTTTTTTCTTTGTTCTTGCCCAAGAGATAGCTTGGAGTTTGCCTTCTGTTCCCCTAATTCCAAACCCTCCTGGGACCAGAATGCCACTGTAATGACAGCCATATATAAAGCAACCAACATGTAGAATCAAACCAGCAAAGGAAGTCCATACAAATTGAAGAAAGACTTTTGAGGTTATAACAAAGCAAGCACAATGCACAAAAGGCATGTTTTGCATGACCATTCAGAATACACAGAATTTAACTCTAAATTTGGAGATCTGTCTCATCTACTCACCCCAATTCTCATCTGACCAACCTCATGCTTCACAGTAAAATTCCTACTGTTTAAATACATATTGCTTAAATAAACTAGCTACATAGTCACTTCTCTAGGATCTTAACACCAAAACTTTTTGTCTACTAAGTAATACTGAAGAAATGAATGCATTTTGACAACAAACAACATCCTTTTACAAATACAAATTGAAATCCTGGCAATGATTCTTAACAGAGACGTTTGCAGAGTGTCACCATCATTTACTAAGCTTTTATCTAACTACCTTCCACCATGATGCATGTTGAAAAAGAAAAATCTTTGACAACTGACCTGCACTGTAAAGAAAGTCTAGCTATCAAAAAAAAAAAAAAAAAAAACACCAAACCAAACAAACAAACAACTGCAACTTGTCTAAAGAGATTAAAGGAGAGAGTTTGAGGATATAGGTTGATACTATAATTTGCTGTGTCTGAGGCTTGTCACCAACCATGTACATCTCTCCCTTTACTTAAGTAACAGAAGTTTGGATGCACTGAGAAATTATTTACTGAAGCATTTTTCATCACATGAAATAAATATCACGGTCTGCATCTGGGATACAGAATACCTGGTGCCACTTACTCTGCTTTGCACAGTTTGTGCCATGCCTGGTGATATTTCACTGAGTTCTCTGCTTCTGTAGAACGTTCAAGTTCTGTTGAATCTATGTACTAATAAAGAAAAATATGAAATAAAACAGTCATTTCTTCCACAGAAAGAGCAGCATACGCTATATAATCAACTTTTTAATAGCATTAAGACAAACCTATTAGAGTTTCAAGTGAATTTCCCAATAAACTCGTAACAACTTCACTGAAGACCCAGTATTTGCTCTAGTTGCAGTAATCCATGCCCCCTTCTTTGCACATAGCTCCAAAGCTCTGCATGCCTCCAGTCCTCTAGGTAAGCAGTCTTGGTAGAATGCTCCATAGCTGTGTACCCAGGTTTTCTTCCTATGGAAATGAGGGCACCAGTCAAGGGGTGGTGCTGACCTTATCCTGATATCCAAATGAGATGTGGCCAGGGTGTTCGCTTTCCTAGCTCCTGGGTGCGAGTTTATCTAATCTTATCACAGACTGGATAAACCTGCATTGTCTAGCCTGTGAGAAAGGCATTCCTGGGGACTGACATGAAAGCATCAACTGTAGAGAGGGAGGCAGAATCATTATCTATGTCATACTAGAAATACTGCATTAGAATCTCTAGTGCCAGTAGTAAGCATGGGTCCTGAGGTACCAATAGAGCAAATGAGTGAAGCAGCTATGTACTGCACTGGGGACACAAGAGATCAGAGTTTGATTCTTGGTTTTGTCAGTCTTTTCCTCGGAATAACATAATTAATAGCATCCTGCTGTAGAGTCCATTCCCCATAAAAACATGATCATCTGAAATGACAGAACTCATTTGCGTGTGGACACATGAAACCAGCAAGAAGATTGCTGTAAGTTTTCCAGATAGGATTGCCTTCTAGCAGTTTCTACTTTTTCCACACTCCAGAAGGCATCAAAAATACAATCAAAAAGTAACTACTTATGAATGTTGTTATTCTATACTAGTAGGATACTACAGGATAAACTAAAAGGACACTTTATCATGCTGGGAGGTTGGAAAAAGAAACTAATTACAGTTGAAGTTAATTGTGGTTTCCTTGCCAAATATATTGAGCCAGCACATTTATCACTTCAAGCAGCATCAACGTTTCATCATTCAGATATGTAGATGCTAGGTTATGAGCTGGATGCCACACAAAATATTAAGCAGTTCTTTCAGAACATAGCATTATACAGGGAGCCTTTGGACTAAAACACTAAAAAGAAGATTAGCACATGCAGTTAAGTACAGTAGGAGCCCTTGTCTGTCAACATTTCAGCACTGCACTGGAGCTCCAGCAATCATCGATTCACATGCTTGTTAATGCAAAAGCTCCACCGAACTTAAGACTAGCTGCAGACAAAGCTAACTGCGCATTTGCGGGCTTGGTGCCTTTCATTTTTTTGCTAAAAGCAAAGTTATTTTATGTTTCATAAAAATTTCCCACTATGCAGCTGCCAGTATAAAACACTATTTAGAGTGACAGAATCGTGTAGGTTGGAAAGGGCCTTGGGAGGCCCAACTGCCTGCTTAAAGCAAGTCAAATTAGAGCAGGTTGCTCAGGGTCATTTCCAGTCAAGTTCTGAAAATCTCCTGGGATTAACTCTGGCTGTTCCCACTTTCTTGTTTTTCATGCACACAGAAGCAACTTTTTGGAGTATTTGCTCCATAATCTTCCCAGGGAATGAGGTGGGGCTGACCACCTGCCACTTCCCCAGATCCTCCTTTTTGCCTTTTTTGAAGATTGGTGCAACATTTGCCCTTTTCTAGTCTTCAAGAACTTCCCCCAATTGCCGTGACCCTTCAAAGCTGGTGGGAGAGTGGCCTCACAATGGCACCAGCCAGCTCCCTCAGAACTCTGGGATGCATTTTGTCTGGTCCAATGGACTTGTGTATGTCCAACTGGTTTGAGTGCTTCCCAACTATATGTGTATGTATATCATGGAAGAAAACTTATTGTGAAGGAAAGCTTATCTATTTCCTACAAATGTATTTTTTTTTTCCTCCATGATACCTCCTCCCCTTTCACTTCAAGGGAAAGGAGACAGCTTAAGCCTTAAAACATAAGCTATTTCTTCCCTAAGCTGAGTTTCTGCTGGTTGTTTTTTGTTTTGTTTTGTTTTTATATTTTCCATGATAGCTACCAATTGGCTTCTTACCACATAAACACATAAAGTTTACTTGAAGTCTGCTTAGTCCTTGTAATTTCAGAGATACGTTTCAGCAGTGAACACTATGCTAAGTTCCTTAGTATGTAGAAAAATATCTCCTCTTATTAAACACGAAGTTATTTTGTCTTCTTGAGTGGTTCCCTAGCTGTTTTACATTATAGGTAGCAACAAGTTCTCTGTCTCTATACTACTCAACATTTGGCATACCTTACAGAGGACAAGAGTAGAATTACACTAAGATAAGCAGTTTCTGGTTTTTTTCCTTTTCTCTTGATAGGGAGGGCCTCTTCCCCCTCACCAGAGAACAAAGCAACCCACTTCTGTCAGTAAAGAAGTCCTACAGAAAAAATAATTTGGATTTGCTTTTGTTTGTGCATCTCTGCATGCCTCCCCTACTTGGTTCTGGGATGACATCAATAATGAGAAGCAAAAGATGAAGGGTTTGCAGCTGACTGATGTGCCCGACAAGTGGCAGAATGATATTGTGAGGAAACAACAGGGTGATTTCAGAGCCCACAACAGCTCAAGGCACAGTGAAAAGTACATTCTACATCATCACAAGCTGCTGCAACTACTTCACCATCTGATTAACAGTCCATCAGAACCAAGCAGTGATGGGAGGGTACAAAACATAATTGGTTATCTTGGTACAGGGCTAGTCACCTTCTCCACCAAGTCACCGAAAAGAAAACACCTGAAGAGATACACTCCTGGTGACCTGTGTTCTCAAGCAAACAGAAGTATCTTACCAGGTTTCTGACATGAGAAATTCCTTCTTTAGTAATCAGTGTTCATGGTTTAAGGAACTTATCATCTTCTCCCAAAAGATAGTGGGAGACTCCCATGTATTCATTACTCTATGCTTCATTAAAGAAGTACATATGCACCCCTGGTTGTTCTAGGTGCTCCCATTGCTTCTTTCTGGGGTAGACAGACTGGGACAACAGAACGGTGGCTATGTCTTTGGCCTGCTGCCTTTAGCGACCTGTTAAGCCATCCTGGATATTAACGACCCTCCTCGTCAAAAAGTGGTTAGTTCCACTGAGAAACTTTCTAGAGCTGAGTGGAAACAGCCTTGCACAAGCATTATCTAAGCAACCCATGCATAGCTTTTGACACGCTGAAATTTTCACTCTAATACCTTCTATTCTTATATCATGAAAAAGGAAACAATCAACAAAGGTCACAGTGTTTAGCAATTTTCAGCAGTTACCAAAGTGCATAAACACGCAAACTTGCCTCCATCAGAGACAGGCAAAGACCAAAACTTACTGAGTGCAGTACAGCCTGCAGCTGCCCACTTTGATCAATTTATCTTATATCATTTAATGAATCACTCTAAAGCACCATGTTGTTGCTGATACTTTGCGACCATTTATTACTGTTCTGCTGCTGCAAGTTGCTAAAATGTCCTCTGCACCCATTAAGTGCTAATAATGCACACTTCCACACTGCTTCTCTGCCCCAAACTTGCCATCCCTAGCAACAAAACTCAGCAATGGAAACTGACAGTTCCATCAGTGAGAAAGCCAATAACAGTTTTTCCATGTGTAGTTCAACTTTTTATTCTCATTAAAATGAGACAAATTAGATCCCTAAATAGTCCTTTATTCAAGGAACTACTGTCTTCCTGCTGAAGATAAAATGGATGGCTCTCAGAATATTAACTGAAATAAAGAGCGACAGCTTCTGGCACTGGAGTTTAAAAAGAAACTAAACTGCTTTCCAGTTTACCTATTTTGTCCTGTCTTTAAGCTAATGTCATTAACATGATAAGTAGTCTCATGAGAACAAGGGAAACCTACCTTTGACAGTAATTATAACTTTGCAGGCAAAGTCTGTTTTTTCATCAGATCCAGTTTTGGGTAACTGCAGCGTTCCTTTCAGATAAGTTTAGTTCCAAATAAAATAATTAAATCTGTAAACATTTCCTTAAAAAAATAAGATGCTTGGCCAGTCTGTATTTATCTGCATGATTCATTTTCTGATTTCCACATGAATTAAAACTGCCTCACATGATGGGAACTAGTAGAGTATATTCAAAGTATTCCTGAAAGCAAAATCCAGAAATATCCTCACCATTAAATCCAGTTTGTGATTAATTGCCAGTGCAGAGTGTTCCAGAGCCTTGAAAACAGATGCATAGCAATCACTTAGTTTCGTGTACTTGCCAACGAGAGCTATAGAACACACCTTCAGCAACCTTTCATATCTGACAAAAATAAATTTTTTAGTTATTACATCAATTTTCACACAGAAAACATTTTAACAGTGTTTGCTTTTTCTTTAACTTCACAAAACATTTTCTAAAATCTCAAAACTGACAATGTTTTTAAACCCAGACCATTCACAGGTGTTGATCAGCAGCACGCTACTGACCCCAGTCCAGTTTGGTGACTTCACAGCAGCCAAAAACCTAACCTGAATTAAAACACTTTGAGAAAAAGCAACACGAGTTAGAATACCTGTCAGCCATTTTCTTCCATTTCATTAGAAGATCACTTGGCTGGTCATCAATAGGTAAATTTAACCTCTGTTTAAAATACTTAATGATGCCTTGCTCCTCCAACAGGATTGGTACGCGATAAGTGGAAGAAACATCATGGATAAATATCACCTAACAAGAAAAAGCATAACATAAAAGACTTCCCTAAAAATTTTTCATAGAAAACACATGTTCTATTTTTTGTATACTACGTGCGTTTTGTATTCTACATACATTCTAATTTTTAAATACTTTTCTTCTGCATGAGCAGGGCAGCACAGCCAATATTTAAGGTTCCACTAAATCTACATGGAAAAAGCTACCCAAAAGGTAAAAACGTGTTTAACTTCTTCATCACACCATCATACAAAAATAGCTTGTCAAGCCTATCAACGCATCAGTTTTAATACAAACATCTGGCCCCACAAGCAGTCATGCTTGCTAACACTTCTTTCTCCCTCTCTCACAAACTTGAAGATATTAACTGGGAAAGAAAGAACACAAATGGAACCTAACAAAACAGATCCTATTAAGTTGCGATAAAGTCTCCTAAAAGAATTTTGTTAGTGAATTAGGTTATGTAATTAATGAGCATAGTCCATTCAAGGACTGTTTAGTTAAAAACACATTTATAAACCACATCCAAGCTGCTGGCAGTTAAGTTCATTGCACTTGGCTTATATGAGACCACAGAGTTCAGAATCCTGAGCACAAGCTTTCTCTTCCCTGACACACATGAGAAGTAAAGGATATTCGCTTAGTTGTTCTTGAGTTACTTCTGTTCATCGCATAAGTATGTACGCATGCATGCTTTCCCATGCTTACGTCGCTTTCAGTGGCAAAAGGAGGGCCAGGGAGAATCTCCCTCCTTTGTTGGATGCGGAGGGAAACATTGCCATGAAGGATGAGGAGAAGGCTGAGGTACTTAATGCCTTCTTTGCCTCAGTCTTTAATAGTCAGACTGGTCATCCTCAGGGTTTTCAGGCCTCTGAGCTGGGAGATGAAGATAAGATGCAGAACGAAGCACCAGTTGTCGAAGAGGTGGCAGTCACCAACCTGCTCCTCCACCTGAATGCTCACAAGTCCATGGGGCCAGATGGGATCCACC